ACTCACCATAATAAACACAGCAGCATTAAGCTGCTATTTAACTTTTGTTTTTCTGACTTTCTAATAAAGATATTTGTAACTCTAATTTTCTAATTTTTAGGTTAGCTATTTTAATATTGTATTTATGTTCCTCTTCCATCATTTCCAGTTGTCTTTTTTTAAAATCTGTGTTACTTTTTACAATTGTTTGGTGTACATCTTCTCTTCTGTAAAATGAAATGGAATACTTAATGTAAGTTTTGTAGTTATTTTAGACATTTACAAAGTATTCTAGAGTAATAAAAGTGCACTTAACCTTGTACACCAATTAAAGAAATATTTTTTAATTATTTTTAAATCAATTCATATTAAACTTTGCTTTTAATATTTGAAAACATGAAACAATTTTCAGTGTTTAAATACTAATTTTCACATTTTAAAAAGTATGTAATGTATCAGACTATGTAATTTTTTCAACATACCTATTTTGCAAGCTAAGTTTCCTGTTTTTAATTTTTGTTATACCCCTAGTAATAATATCTTTATTGTTGGTTATTTTCACCATTTTGGCACTTTCTTCTGTATCTGTAGTTGGATCTATCTCTAAAAATTAATATAAATATAACAGTTTTAGAAAATTAACATTTATAATATTTACAAACTTGTATGCCTATGATTGTAACTATAATAATAATATATTTTTAATAAATATTCAATCAGTATTATTTACCTTGCACATATACAACATTGGGTTCTGGATTTTCTACATTTTTAACTATAGCTGTGTCTGTTTTTTCAAAATTAAGGCGAGGCTTAGGGTCAGCAACTTCTTTTGATGTTGTAGCCACAGCCACTGGATCCTAAAATAAATCGTTAAAACATTTATTAACATGTTTTCCTGTCACCTGTCACCTCTATTTTGCCCTTTATTGAATCAGGTATTTTCTATGTTGTAGAAATATTATTATGATCCAAGACAAAAGGTAATTTAATAAATTATTAATTATAATACCTAATAGACAAAAATAGAAAATTATAATCGGACTGTGTAGATAATCTAGTAACATGTGTGTTATGATATTATGTAGACCACTATATATTAATTTGTGACATTTCAATTTTGAATATAATTAATTATAAAGAAATTTATGTTAAATTGTTACTAAGTATATTAAATTTTGAATATTCGGAAAATAATTTTGGATTGTAAATTGTATGCTTTAAGAGTAGATTTCAGAGCACTACCTAGGTACTAAAGTAATGGAAAATAAAGTTCTTTAATTTTAATTAAATTTGTAAGACATGTAAGTAATTTTATTTACCACTGCATCACTATCATAATTATTAACTTCAACGATAAAGTCGTGAGGGGCAATGGACATTATTTCCAAGTCCTCAAGAGAAGGTGATGGAGGTTTTCCGCCACCCCCGGTCTTTGATTGTTCCCTCCTATATGTGTATAAGTTTGATTTAGCACACAACTTCATTCTTTTCCAAGATAATTTCAATTCACCATCTGATCGGCGTTTACCTGTTATCTCATTAAATCTAAAAAAAAAATACGAAATCACGTAAACAATACCGTACCTATTTGTACACATAACAAATGCGATAAGTACTTACTTATTAGTTATATTCTTCCACTCTTTTATTTTTTGAATATATACCGATGTTTTTGTCGACTTATTCTCTATTATATGTGCTGATTGTGAAATAAGTGAACGTAATATTTCCTATAATAATAAGAACATTCCTTTTAGTTGAAATAAGGATAATAGGAGGATAAGAGTATTGGTACGTACTGACAAATAAATTTCGATATTTCACTAACTTTTTCTTCAGAACTCCAATTTTCACCCCGTTTTTTCTTTTGTTCCATTATTATATAAATATAACTGTAATAGCAAGTACTTAATTAATTATTAATAATTTAATTTACTTATTATAAGGCTGCAATATAAACTATTTTGAACGTCTCGAATCCCGCGCTCGCGTTACCTCTGTAATTCACTACGTTTCACGCTAGAGTTGTTAAACTGAAAACAACTTGATATAATCAAAAGCGCGTCAAAAGTATATGTCGTGCTTGTTCAATAGATTTTAACGTAAACAAATAACAATGTATGATATGTTTTTGTATTGATGGATAATTATTTAAGCATAATTAAGTGTGAAAATAATATTAATATTTTATGAAACCGAACGTTGCATTGAATGAAACCTGTATGAACGAATGATAGAGTGTCATTTTTTGTTTTTTATCTGTGAATGATATTTAATATAATATTAACGTTGGTATTAACTGGTCCTCGGGTAGTCTGCGTTTTGTAATAAGCACACGTTTTAGTGCTGGTATTAACTAGAATATTGTAACAAACCTGGACTTCTTACTCCTAAACTTAACCCAGTACTAAAACATTTTTTTGGAATAAGACTGACATGGTCTAGCAAGTACTTAGGTTTCTATAAAAATATATTGTAATAGACCATGGAGGTTAATTCACATTAAACCTACATGGTCTACTACATACACTTCTATAGACTAACTTAAATGATTTGATTTTTTAATAATTTTACACAGAGAAACCGTGCAGGTGCAGATAGATTGAAGGCCCGCTATTTTGAGGATTTGTATTTTCTGAGATTTTTAAGATCTACTTTTAGTGTGATTTTTTTATAAAACTGTAGTGAATAAAATACAAATGGTAAATTTAAAATTTTGTACAAACGACTTCAAAATGAATATAATTTATTCTTGATTTTTTTTTAAATCCCCACTACCGATGTCGATAAAATTTAAATGGTACCACCTGGGAAGTATACCCTTTGAAACAAAAACAAAAGAACTTTCTAAATCGGTTCAGGCGTCTTTGAGTAATCGGTGAACATACATAAAAAAAGAATCCGACGAATTGCGAACCTCCTCCTTTTTTGAAGTCGGTTGAAAATAAACTCACACAATCCACTTGATGTTGAGTGGCTAATGCAGTACATGGACTCCGCGGCGAAGTGGCTTAGAAATGGGTTGCAATACTAAGGGCCGCGGGTACGAATGCCGCACGGTACAAGTATTTCTATAGCCTACAAGTAAATTGTTCCGGGTCTGGCCGTTTATCTGGCAGTATGTAAAATTTTTATATTTATTTTATTATATACAATATTAAAAACTATAATAAAATATAAATTAGTAACTTAATTACCATACAGTCCTACTCCCCGTGGTATCGTGCCTGCGCTGGCTACGTTTCCCCGCTGAATGGCTACACTTAGCCTTTGAGCGAGAAAAGAACCAGTCCTCTTATCGCCAGCAGCAACGACCAGCCGCGGATGGAGTTCCTTTAGGAACTTCACCGCAGTTGAACCCCAAGGACCGATAGTCTCTACAACAAATGCCACAAATATGTAGTCATCTCTCAGAGACTCATATTTGCGCCACTTACTCAGTTCAGCTGCCTCTGATGCCGCCCCGGCTCTAAACGAGGTACCCCTGAGATGAGAGGCCACCAGAGTGTCTACGCAAGTAGCATCTCACACTAGGGCTTTATCTCTCTCCCAAGGAACATCTGCAATTCAATTTCGACAAAGGACACTACGGATGCGTGTCATCTCTGGGGACTAAGATGAAATGTCTCACAGCCTGTATTAATGCTGGCTCTCTCAGTGGTGTAGCGTGCCTTAGACGGGCCGTGCATCAAAATTTATCGAGAGGCCCAAATGAAGGATAAAGATTTTTCACAAAAAGGATAAAAACTCTCGCATTGAATTATAATAATTGTATATTGATTATAAGTTATTGCTTACAATTATTAAAACTCCTACAAACTAAGCTAGCCAAACAATTCAAATCAAATTTACACTTTTCTTATCTTTTATTTGGCGAAGTTGTTTATTAAATAATTCATATATGAATACGATTTCAGTGTTTTTAAATTTTCTGTCTCTATAGGCAATAGTTACAAATCTGATAGCCTTCTATGTACCAAAGGAGTCCTTGGAATGTTTGCTTACACACGTTCGGGGCCTCTGTAGCCCGGGGCCTCATATCATTGATATGGCTGATACGGCGGTAACTACGCCCCTGGGTTCTCTGTACTCTTCAGAGCGGAACAAAACAATGCAAGCACTGCTATTTGCCGGCAGAAATAGGGCGCTCTCCCAAGTCGGCCGTATCGCCAAAAATATATTTTGAATTATTTTAAATGGTGCCACTCGATGTTCCTCTTAACCAATTTATACGATGACCGATAAATCATTAAAATTATAAATCTTAAATAACAACGAGGAGTGCTCCAGTCTTGTGAGTATCCTTGCCTTATCTATCCAGTTCTAAAGATATTTTCGTTTACTTCCCGGTTGGGATCATCGGGTTGGCCAGCCCTAGGTCTGGTTGTTCTCTAGTTCCCAAAACCACACACGAAACACATTGCGAAACATTCAAGCCGGAACACAGACTTTATACGTACTACGTACCTCTGCTAGGAACAGACCTCATCTTATTTCTTAGAAGGGCATTCTCAAGAAAAGGTTTTCTTCAAAAATCTGTGTTTAACATTGTCTAATTTCAGTCATTTTTTATACGATAGTGTGACAAACGAGCTCACAGTCCACCTGATTGTAAGTGGTTGCTGTGGCTTATAGACATCTACATCTATTCTCGTTTGCGAATCAAAATGCACCCGTGAGGACTAAGCCTATTTTCCAGTAAAAAGGGTCTCCGGTTCTCAACACTCACCATACTAAACACAGCAGTGTTAAGCTGCTATTTTACGCTGGTGTTCTGTGAGAGCGTGGTCCTTCCCCGGTCGAGCCGACCCATTCGTGCTACAATTATACTACTAATATAGCTGCAGCATGGCTCTACCACATAAACGGGACCCATTTACAAAACAAAACCTCTATGACAGACAGATAGAGGGCCCTGATGATTCCGTAAATGTTCCGTTTTGTGAATTTCTCTCGGTGCACTAAAACGTAGTTAGTAACAGGTGTTAAAAAAATTGATAAGCCCTGGCGAGACTCACCCACAGATATCCACGATAAGAACAGGTAAACTGACAGAAAGCACAAGTTCCTTTGGTTACACGTGATCGCCATATTCCGGATCTGAAACAAGGTGGAAATAATTAAACAATATCAAATTAATGCTACTATGTAGCGGCGGCGTGTAAGAGTATCAAGACGGCTCCGTGGCGCAGCGACACAGCAATGAGTTGCAGCACTGGGAGCCGCGGGTTCGAATCCCGCACGGAACAAGTATTTTCATGGCCTACAAATAATTGTTCAAACAATTTATGTCTGTAAACTACCTCCACGATACAGAAGAAAATCCTGATTTATTTTTTTTAGGATAAGGGTGGCAAACGAGCACACAGTCCACCTGATGTTAAGTGGTTACGTAGCCCATAGACATCTACATTTATTCTCGATTACAAATCACAATGCAGATGCATTGTCACGCGTGAGGACTAGAATGGAATGAATGCATCGTTTCCAATAAAAAAGGTCTCCGGGTCTCTACACTCACCATACGATACACAGCAGTGTTCATCTGCTATTTTACATTGGTATTCTGTGAGAGCGTGGTCCTTCCCCGGTCGAGCTGACCCATTCGTGCTACGACCATAATATAACGCAGAGAGGCTCCACCTCGTAGAAGATAGGTAGAAAAAGACAAACGTACCTACCTACAGTCCTACAAACAAATCCATTCATCTATCCATTATAGCCTATCAAAGTCCACAGCTAAACGTAGACCTCCTAATAGATTGGAAGATATTTGCCATAGTTGCCGCGTTTGGCAGGCGGGTTGGCAAACGCATTTTAAAACCGACTTCAAAAAGGAGGAGGGTGTTACGGTTCTCAGGGATGACAACGCATGTGCATATTGATTCTTAATCGGGGATAAATGTAAATGTCTATGGGCCACAGCATTCAGGTGGACTGTGTGCTCGTTTGTCACCTTTATTATATATATATCGATATTCGGCTTCTTCCCCGAGTCGTCTGGTACTGCGAACATCAAGACGTCTGCAAAGAGTAACTATTAAGGCGAATCTTCTCTACCACGAGGGAGGCACATCTTCAACCGTGAGCATTTACAGGCTGATGATGAATATTCACCTATAAATTATTCTCGCGGAACATCTTATTTCATCATCATCATCATTACAGCCCTTCACAAGTCCACTGCTGAACAAAGGCCTCCCCCATAGAATGCCACAAAGCACGGTCCTAAGCCACCTGCATCCATCGACTTCCTGCATATCTTACCAGGTCGTCACTCCATCTAGTGGGGGGACGCCCTACACTTCGCCTGCCGGTACATCTTATTTAGGACACCATTTATTCCAAAGGTCTCAGTTTTCCGATTGACTTTAAATATGGCTGAATCTACGAGTATTATCTTCATCCAATATAAAGTTGTTAATATTTTGAACGAAAAACGGTAGATCATTTTTCTAGACACATCGTACATTATTTAATATAAACATCGCATACTTCTCCCGCGCTGAAAAACTCGACGCGCGTAGAATAAATTAAAAATAAGTAAACACCGTGTAAAGATATCCGAGACGCACTAAATCATTTTAATGAATACAAATTTTAATAAATCTCGAACATTCAGTAAAACTAACACGTTTTAATTTTATATTTTAGTAGGGCACCCACTCGTTCGCGATTCTCCGGATTTTTATATAAAGGTAGTGATGCATATGCATAGTCGCTAATGTGTAATTTTTTTTTCAGTAATTTTTCTTTCAGCCAGTATTTTATAAATATCCCTGCACGCGTCTCTAACTGCATGAAGACAGAACCGTTATGTATATATCTCGAGGTAGCTAGTATTTTCCCGCAATAAAAAATATTTTTATAGACAGACACAAACTAACACACAGTCCAACTGACGATGAGTTGATGCTGAGGCCCATAGACATCTATATTTATCTTCAATTAAGAATCAAAAATGCAGATGCTATGTCACCACTGAGGACTAAGATGGAATGCCTCGTTTCCAGTAAAAAGGGTCTCCAGTTCTCTACACTCACTATACGACACACAGCAGCATTGAGCTGCTATTTTATGCTGATATTCTGTGAGAGCGTCGTACTTCCCCGGTGGAGCCGACCCATTTGTGCTGTAACTATATTACTAATATAGCTGCAGCATGGCTATATCACGTTAATATTTTGAGATTGCATATCTAAACTATATATAAGCCGTGCAGTGGGAGCTCAGATGGTTAGCGCTCGCTGTAAGTTTCACAGTACACGAGCAACCCGGGTTCGTTCACCGCCGGCATTTGGCCGGCACCAATGAAATTGTTAATTGCAATTTTAAGTGCTGAATTACCGCGTGCTCGGCGGTGCAGGAAAATATCGTGAGGAAACCTGCATGTCTGAGAAATAAGAAAAAAATATTTCGAAGATATGTGAAGTTCGCCAACACGCATTGGGGCAACGCGGCGGACATTTCCTTGCTCTAAAACCTTCAGAAATGACGGGAGCCCTTTGCCCCGCAGTGGGACGTATATATAGGCTTCAACTTTACTTTACTTTACTCTATACAAATAAATAAAATTGAAGTGTCTGTTTGTAATATCAAAACAACAGCTTTTTACTAATTGCATATGAAACGGAATACGGATAACAAAAACACAATATTTAAAAAAAATCTGTCTGTCTGTTTGTTCCGGCTAATATCCGAAACGGCTAGACCCATTTTGACGGATTTTTCACTGGCAGATAGCTGATGTCACAAGGAGTAACTTAGGCTACTTTTATTTTAGAAAAATAATTAGGGTTCCACGTAAAAAAAAATTAAAACCCCAAATAACACATAAAATTTGAGTGTCCGTCCGTAAAAATTTGTTTCATCATGATCGCATACCGACATTGCTAAATTGCGTTACATTTAATTGTAATATCACCCGCAAATTGTACATACATGGTTTATTGGCAATAAATATTCTTAAAGTTGGCAAAAAATTACTTCTCGTACATCCGCTCGATAAAATAAAATGATGTGTCTTACCTAGTTTGAAGAGCACCTCCCGCCCTCCCTCAATTGCGTGCACTACAACCGTCACCACTAATCCCAGCACCGCTACTCCCAACACCACAACACACAGAGTCTAGATTACCTGAAGATTCCGCAAAGTAACGCCTGATTCTATTAATAAATATTCTGATTTTGATTCTGAAACTGAACTCAATTTGAAAAATGCTTTAATTTGCTCTTTCTCTCTTCAAAAAATGATAGAATACAACGGGACAGGTACAGATTGATTATGTTTAATTTAAATAAACGTTTAAAATTAAGGCCGTTATTGTTTTAACAATTTTAATTGTATGTGCATTAGTGAAAACCAGTTTATTTCATTTAATTTTTCCAAAAAATAGCGACGCCGGCAACGCATACCAGTTGACGATACTTTTCCACCGACTTCATAAAGGAGGAGAGAAGAGCATTGCAATATGGACGATTTCAATCTGTCCGTCGACAGAATGAGTTACGATCTTACTGCGGCTTATCACTGGGGAAGCAATCGCGTGTGTTTTCTGCCAAACACAGGTAATAATTCTTGTCACTAGGATAATTACATGTTGATTAGACTTTAAACATCTCCCCAAGGTTACTCTAAACGACACTAAATTAGAATATGGCCGTGTATTGGCGGTGTAAGAATATCCACTACCCTATAACATTCCGTGGGTGTCTTAAGAGGCGACAGAAAATATCAGAAGATGGGCAGCAGTGTCTTCCTAATAACGACTAAAAATAAAAAAACTGCGGTTGCCAACCTGCTTGCCAAGCGTGGCAACTATAGCAAATATCCTCTTTATGAGGCAATCTATGTGGGAGGCCTATGTTCAGCTGAGTACTTTAATAGGCCGTTACAGTTACGATATGGCAGGTTAAGATTTTGAGATTAATAATTATAAACGGTGTCATACGAAGAGTTCTTGTCTCTATAAATATTCTTGTGGAATATTTAGCGACGATGGCAACAGACCCACGATAACAGATAACAGATAATGTTATGGATCGCAGTGGACTGTATTATTGGGGGAGGGGGGGGGTACGCTAGGGGCAACTGCTCAAAGAAAAGATGGTACTGTCGAACTATACTGTATTCTAACTATTTACAAAATGTGGCACTATTAATTAAACTATTATACAGAGGGGAGTCTTCTTGATGGAGTCTTCTTGAGTCTTGATTTTCTTGATTTCTCTTGCTGTCTTCTTCTCGTCGAGTGCCGCTTCCGAAATGAACAGCTCACCGACCGAGACGCCCTTCTTATATCTCGCCGGAGAGCGTCTCGGGTCGTGCGTAGCGTCGTCCGCGATGCCGCGCGCTCATTGGTCGGCGACATCGCGTGATCTGCTGCCGGTGTGCGGGGTGCGCGGGGCGCACCGGGGTGTGAAGGGGCGACGGGGCGGCGGCCTCCTCGCTGTCCGCTACAGATAACGTTGATCCCTTGGGAGAGAGATAAAGCCCTAGTGTGGGATGCTACTTGCGTAGACACGTTGGCGGCCTCTCATCTCGGGAGTACCTCGTTAAGAGCCGAGGCGGCAGAGGCAGTTGAACTGACTAAGTGGCACAAGTATGAGTCTCTGAGAGACGACTAGATATTTGTGCCATTTGCTGTAGAGACTATCGGTCCGTGGGGTGCCCGTGCGGTGAAATTCTTAAAGGAACTCTACTCGCGACTGGTCGTGGCTGCTGTTGATAAGAGGCCTGGTTCTCAATAGCCTTTGAGCGAGAAAACGAAGCCAGCGTTCTTGGCACGATACCACGGGGAGTAGGACTGTATGATAATTAAGTTATTAGTTTTAGGTTATTTTTATTATAGATTATCAATATTGTATATATTAATAAATAAAATGAAATAATTATAATATTTTATTTTTTATTTCTCCCAGGGCTGGTATAACACTCCTCGCAGCCCTTGCCCGCTTAACGTTGAGTTTCGGGACGCGTTGCATATATTATATTAATGGAGGCTCTGGAGCTCTGCAAGTCAGTGACATACGAAAACGAATCTGACAGTGATGACATACGGAACTGAGACGTGGTCCTTCACTGCTGGCCG